CGACAGACTGTGGGGTCGCTGCTTGGAGCTGCTGCCTGTCGCCATGGGTGTCCGCTGTGCCTGCCCCCGCTGGCGGGCCGGGGCTGTCACTTTCACTCCGTGCTGGTGTTTGGGTTCACCTCTCGATGCGGGCCTTGCTTTGGTGTGGATTGTTCACATCTCGAGCCCTTTGTTGACCAGACCTCGGCAGGCCGTCACTTTCACTCACGAATGTTTAGGGGTCTGGGACATCTCTCTCAGAGCAGGCCCTGGGAGCTGTACTGCTCAGTCTAGGGAAGATGAGACTGAGAGGAGCTCTCAGTAATGCATATAAACATCTCAAAGGTGGGTGCCAATAGGATGGTCCCAGACCCTTTTCAGTGATGCCTAGTGACAGGATGAGGAGCAGTGGCCATAAACAAAAGTTTCACTTTAACATAAGGAAGAACTTTACATTGAGGAGCAGGCTGCCCAGGGAGGTCATGGAGTCTCCCTCTCTGGAGACATTCCAGATCCATCTGGACTGATTGCTGTGTTACCTGCTCCAGGTGACCCTGCATTGAGAGGGGGTTTGGACTGGGTGATCTCCAGAGGTCGCTTCCCACCCTGACTATTCTGTGATTCTGTGAATAGCATCAATGCCTGCAGGTGGAAAGCAGGGAAGGAAATCCTGTCCCTTATCATGTTTATATCAACATGAGTCACCTTAGACAAGATCACAGAGAACTGGTACCTCCAACACTGGAAGGAAGCTTGAAATGAAAGTCACTTCTCGCAGCGCAAAGCCTTGCATGTTCCTTGGAAGCTTTCCGTGGTCCTGGTTGTTGGCTGGTCCAGGGTGAGCTTTTACCCAGGCAGAGTGGTGCAAGGGGAAATGGAGAGTATGGACAGCCCCAGAAATGCATGGTTGAAAACACATCTCTCATTCCTTCTTTGCTTTGCTTCTAAACACATCAGTTGGAAAGGCAGAAGAGGAATGTATTGAGTCCAACAGTGAGATAAAGTACAGAAAATGAAAAGCAAGGGTTCAAATGCGTTTCATCAAAGCAGATGAGCTGATTTTTTAAGATTTTAACACATACATTT